GTCCTTTATTTGAGACCTCCTCTCTTGGCTACTTTTCCCCCCAGAAAGAATGCCCCTAGTCTCTAATCTAAGTCAATTTCAACTACTGAACACTCTTATTGCTGCTTTCTCCCCTCTTCTTTACTTTAGTGTATTTATGTTGTTTTCACTCCTTTACTAACATTTGAGAAGAAGGAAAGCTAAACCCATAATGTACAATTCAACATATTTCACAGGAAGCCCCTGGAGATGGCTGACAAAGAGTCAACCTTTAAGTCTCTCGAAAATGTAAAAGACCCAACCAAAATTTAGATTTATGTTTAAGTCATTAATTAAAAAGGCAGATTCGTTTATGAAAGTGTGAACAAAGTAAAATGTGAAAAATGTATTACAAAATATAAGGAGCAGCTTCTTTATCTAAAATAATAACATGCTCTAAATCCTAATGAATCTACAAGATATTTACAGAAAGTGTTAGATGACAATAAATCTGTTTGAATCTCTAAGTCAGCTGTAATTATGGTTTCCCTGTAGCCTGGCAAAAGAGAACTGAGGTAAAGAATGGTACTGCCTGTGCCCCTCAAGGACATGAAGATTAAAGCTGTGCCCTTTTATGTCAATAGCCTTTTAGTTAAATGACTTATGCACTTTTAGGAATGAAGAATCACCCACTGTATCAACCAGAAAAAGAGACAAATATCTTTTGTCTCTCTCTCTCTCTTTCTCTCTCTCATTAATAAACATATCCCCAGGTGAAGATAAAAAAGAAAAGAAACATTGTTATGAATATTTAATCATTATTAAGTAACAGGAACTATTGAAAGTATTGCTAATAGGAAAAAAGACTGCTAATCCAAGGATCTAAAATTAATACAGGAAGTGAAGTTAATGTCTTAACATTCCAAAGGATCCCAAACACATCACCTAAGCAATATACATATACAAACATACATGTAAATACTCTAAGGTTCTAATTTATTCTAAATATTTGTATAGCCTATATTCATTTAAAAACTATCTATATATTAACTTCAAACCACAGCAGTAAACTCGGGACAAATTCAAGTACTCCCAAGTAGTAAATTTTAACTATTTTCCTTCGCTAAAGCCAACAGGCTGTATAAATATTTGGTTATATAAGTAATTGGTACTTATTGTTTTTTGCCAGGATAACACAAGGAGACAGTAGCTGATGCTATTCAACTTTACCAAGACTTCTGATGGTATCAAATGTAGTTCTGTAAGACGCCAGTATAATATATAAATTGTATAAACAGAAAAATCTTTTTAAGGATAAGAAGCAGTTTTGCTGTGTTTTCCATAACAGAAAAAAACGCTAAAGGATGAAGGTCTAAAACTAATTTCTCCAAATTTATTATTGTTGATTTACTACATACAAAAAGTGGTAATCTATGAATGCTAAGGTACTAAGCGTATTTTCTGAATTTTACAATTTTAAACCACCATCACTCTATTCAACCTTCCAAACTGAAAAATATCCCATTAGTAAGAAAAAAACTTACATTTGAACTAAAGAGCTACTCTTCAAAGAACTAAACGCTACCTCACTCTCCTCTGGGATTATATGCTTATTCCAGAAAATTTAAATTAAAAAGATAAGATTTCAGTTTCTCATCTATAAAGAAAGAAGCAAACAAAAAGTAAAGCCTCAGTTTCCAAGGTCTAGGATATTAAAAATATACATGGTTTCACACATAATTTTTGTGTTATTTGTGAGGGAATGAAACAATTAAATAAAGGTCTTTCAACAATCCTGACTTGTTATTGAAGGGACAAATAAATTAGCAGCATTCTTTTCTTTCTTTCCTTTAGCAATACTCTCAATGAACACTGAAAAAGTGCACAACAGGGTTCTCTCCAGTTCCCATATTTTTAAAGAAAACTGCCTTTAAAGTTAAAGCACCATGAAGAAAAAAATTAATAAGGCCCTGGCCAGGTACCTCAGTTGGTTAGAGCATTGTCCCGACACACTAAGGTTTCAGGTTTGATCTCCATTCGGGGCACATACAAGAATTGACCAATAAATGCATAAGCAAGTGGAACAACAAATCGATGTTTCTCGGTCTCTTTCTCTAAAATCAATTAACAAAAAAGATAGTAGGTTCCTGCTAATTTCAAAATGAAGGGGTTGACTAAAAATGTCACCAGCTCATTAAAAAAAATGGATGTTTTCAATTCAGGGTGGCATTACTTAAAGTACTGGCTGCTGAATAATTCACTAAAAGTGTGTGACAACTCTCTAAGCCTAAAGTCCAGAAAATACAGGGGAAAATACATATGCCTAAATTCTCAAAACAGAAGCACCAAACAAACAGAAAATTCAATATATTTACATCCAAGTTAGAACACATCTGAGTTGGAACCTTGAAAATAACTTTTAATTTTGATGCTGATACATCATATAAACTGACTTTTATCAGTTTTGAAACAGTACATTTCTCTCTCCCACCCCCACATCCCTTACCTAATGGGCTTTCTCAGATTCAAACATATAATCAATGAAAATACAAAAACTCTGTATTATAGACTAGAAAATGTTTAATGTTTCTAAAATTTGTGACAAACTCAAATGAGACTAAGAAGCGAAGCTCTGGAGAGAGTAATGGATAACATTTCAAATTCACTATGGATCATTAATACTACTTATAAAATACTATTAAAAGCTAAAATAATGGTACTATTACTATGATGACAACAATGCCAATTTATTAAGCCTGTACTTATAGGCCAGGAACTAATTAAGTACTTTACATAACCCAGTCCTTAAAACATTATAAGGCAGGTATTATACCTATTTTCTAGATGGAAATCATTGAGGCATGGGGTTTAAAGAACTTGCCAAAGGTTACAAAACTTGAGAGTGAAGAACAAAACTCAGATTTATCCGAGTCCAACAAGTATGTACTTATTCAACATGCTACGATGCTTGCCCACAAGCAAACATTTAACAGAATTTGTTGAATAATGAATGCTACCATACAGAAAGGTAGGACAGGAATTTAAGACATCCCTGTAGCTCTTTCTCAAAGGAGTTAAAATATTATAAATATAACAAGTGTGTAAATGAAAAAAATTATAAATAACTATTCTTGCCACAAAAGAAAATAATATGCTAACCAGGCCATATTTACAGGAATATGCTTAATGATGAAATAGCATGCCCCAGTTTTAATAACATTTACACACACATATACAAATAGAACAAAAATAAAGGGCAGTGGGTCATCCTGTGCCAGAGAAGTAGAAACATAAAAAACTCTCTACTAGCCTAGTTTTACCATATTTTTAAATACACCATATTAAAAATTGGAATCTTGGGGACATTATGCTAAGTGAAATGAACCAAAACACACACAAAAATACTGTACGGTTCCAATTACATGAGGCATCTAAGTGGTCAAATTCATAGAATCAAAGTAGAATTGTGGTTACTAGGGGCTGGGGAAGGGGGAAACGGGGAGTTGTTCAGCAGGATGAAAAAGTTCTGGAGATACGATGCACAACAATGTGAATATGACTAACACACTGACTGTACATCTTAAAAAGGTTAAGATAGTAAAAAATAAAATAAAAAATGTAGTACTAATACACAAATAGCCGTAAATAGATATACCTCAATACAGAAGTCCTGCTGCATTAATATAGTAGTTACTAGCCATACATGACTATTAAAATTTATATTAGTTTTTTCTTTTAACCTAAGGAGGGAAATCTCAAGAGCAGAACAACAGGTATAGTTAGACCACATTTAAGTAAAAAGAAAATCAAACATGGGGATTTGTGATACGTGCCCACATTATAAGGCTATGTGAAAACCTTAACAATGGTTACACCTGATTGGGCAGGGATGAGAGACTGGACATCTGTGAGGAATAAAACCTTAGTTTTTCAAATTTTTTTAATATATATATATTTTTATTGATTTCAGAGAGAGGAAGGGAGAGGGGGAGAGAGAGATAGAAACATCAGTGATGAGAGAGTTATTGATCGGCTGCCTCCTGCACATCCCTCACTGGGGATCGAGCTCACAACCCAGGCATGTGCCTTGACCAGGAATTGAACCGCAATCTCCTGGATCCTAGGTTGACGCTCAACCGCTGAGCCATGTCTGGCCGGGATCAAATATCTTTATACTGTTAATTTCTTTTGCATGTGAACACACTGCATTCATTACATTTATAATGAAAACAACTAGATTTTTAAAATCCTTTCTCTATGAAGATGATTATCATTCATTTAGGAACTGTCAATGGTAAGGGTCAATGCTGGGGAGGACATTTAAATTTTAACAGAGCAGAACAGATAAGCCGTGGCTCTTTATTGCTGACCCTAACTCAGGCCTCTTATTGTACCTCTATCTCAGACCTGATGATCAATCTGAAAACCTAACGTTATATCAAATAATTGCTCTAAAGATGTAAGTACAGTAAGCATTTCTGGGTGTTACACAATTAACAATATTTATTGAGTGTATATGCATAGTTCTGTGGGGAATATAAAAAAGTAGGATTATAGTCTTGCTCAAGGTTTCAAGCCTTACAAAATAAAAAACATGCATAGAAGGAAGAGAGAACAATTAATGCCATGCAAACACAGAAAACAAGTCAGTGTGGGAAAGAATAGTCAGGGTTCATGGAAGAAATAAGACAACAGATTCGACCTTAATAGACAAGCTGGATTTAGATAAACAGAGGAGAGGGAGGATTACATAAGAACACTAGAAAGAATGCACAGAAATAAAAAAATTGAGATAGTGAGATTCAGTATGACTAGAGATGGAATATAGGAAGAAGTATAAAATAAGTAATGAGTAGGAGTAAAGTTCAAGGCAATACCTTAAAAACCTGACAAAAATTAAGATATTATAAAGCAGGCAAAGGAGAATTTTCATAAGCATTTGGCAGCAAGGGCATACAGGTAGGGTAAATTATTTGCATGTCTTTGCTTCCTTTTGGCTTGCTTTTTTGACATGAAAAATAAAATAAACATTTTATCACTACCTCACTTCCAGACCCAGACTCCAGTGGTCTCTTCTTCCTTGGTCCAATAGCAGCAAGGGCTGTGAGGTTAGCATCTCTTTGCTGTATCTGTGCGAGCTCCAGCTGTTGTAACTAGGAGATGAAATAAAAGAGAGAAAAAAAGCAATGTTTACACATAGTCATGCTCAGAGGGGAAAGAAACTGATCACTAAACCTATTTCTGTGTTCTTCACCAAATTAAGTTAAAGTGTAAAATAAATATTAGATTCTCCTAACAGCCAAGGGCACATCATTTCCTGATTCATTTACTCCAACAAAGTCTTTAGTCCTGAATCTCTAAAAGGATAGGCAGAATTCAGGTGAGGAAGAGAATATAAGAAAAAAGAAAAGAAAGGACGCTAGAGCTAAATCTCTTAGTTTAAACACAGGTAAGAAAGGCCTGAAGAATAAATTGAACAGTAAATTGGAGGGAAATTGGCCAAACTAGTCAACCTTTTCAGATTAAAAGAAAATTTCTTAAAAATAAACAGTTTTTGAATTTTATAGGAAACTGTTCTATGCTGTATGATTTATAAAGCAGTTCACTAAAAATTAACTCATTAACTCTCATAACCACACTGAAAGGTACATATGAATTGTTATAACATATGAAAATTACATGTATAAGTCATCTTTTCTTTTTTCTTTTTTGTTCAGTGAGGCTCTAAGAGGTTAGAAAAACTTCATAAAGGTCACACAAATAGTGAGTGAAAGAAACAGAACTCAGAGACAAGTGTTCTCATCACAACCTTTTCAATACAGCAGGAATCCAACCAGCGATCTTTCAGGGCACAGGAAGATGCTCAACCCACTGACCAACACTGGCCAGGGCTGAAGATTTCTTTACTGGAAGGTTTTAACTATAAATTCAATTTATTTAATAATTACAGAACTACTGAGGCCATCTACTTCATCTTGGCCAAGTTTTGAGAGTTTGTGTTTTTCAAGAAATTGGTCGTTTCATCTAAGTTTTCAAACTATTCGCACCGCAGAGTTGTTTGTTATAATTCCTTCTCATCCTATTGACATCTGCGGGGGCTGTCATGATTTCCCATCTTTTTCCTCCTTATACTGGTAATTTACATCTTATTTTTCTTTATTAGTCTTACTAGAGATTTCTCAATTTTGTTGACCAAAGAACCAGTTTTGGTTTCTCTGATTTTCATTCTTTCCTTCTGTTATCAAAGTCATTGATTTCTGCTTTTAACTATTACTTCCTTCCCTCTGCTTGCTTTGGGTATATATTGACCTTCTTTTCTCAGCTTCCTAAGGTAAAAGCTTAGATTATTGATTTGAGAACTTTCTTCTTTTCTAACATAAGTATTTCCCCCATCCTTTTACTTTAACCTACATATGTCATTAAATTTTAAGTAAGTTTCTTATAGACAGATACAGTTGAGTCATAGTTTTTAATCCATTCTGACAATCTTTATCTTTTAATTGGTATATGTAGACCATTTTCACTTACTATAGTGATTTAGCTATGTGTGAATTTATAGCTACCATTTTATTATTTGTTTTATGTTTCTTCCCTCTGTTTTTCATTTGTTTCCCTTTTCCTACTTGTTTGGGATTATTTAAACATTTTTAGTATTTCACTTTAATTTAGCTACTTTTTAAAATTATGTCTCCTTATATAGTTTTAAAAAAAGTTTAGTGTTGGCTCTAGAGGTTACAATATACATACTTAAAATCAATATTTTACCACTTCAAGCGGAATAGATACTTTACCCATATGTATATCCTTTTACTCTTCACACGTTATTATAGTTATTTGATATATTACACATATACACATTGAAAATTCCTGACAATATTATAATTTTGCTTTCAATTAAACATATTTTTTTAAAACTCAAAAACATAAGAATAGTGTATACTACTACTTCTGTTGCTCTTTTTTCACTTTATTCTGAAGAACTTTCTTAAGCAATTCTTTTACAGCAGGTTGTCTGGGCAACATTCTATTCATGTTCCTTCATCTGAGAATGTCTTTATTTCACCTCCATTCTGCAAGATATTTTCACTGAATATAGAATTCTGGGTTGGTTTACAGTTCTTTAACTGGACTTTAAAAATATTGGAAATGTACAGTCATTTGAATTATTGTTCGTGTTGAAAAAAATGTCCTTTTCTAAGGCTAGACTCAAAATTTTTTCTATGTATTTTCTGAAATTGATTGGTGTGACTAAGCTAGAGTTTCTTTGTGGTTACCCTGTTTGGGGGTTCAATGAGCTTCTAGAATCTTTAGGTTTAAGGCATTCTCTAAATTAGGGTGTAGAGGAGTTTAGTCATTATTTTTTCCAAAAAATTTTAGCATCTCACTCTATCTTCTTCTGAGATTTCAATAACCCAAATGTCAAACCTTTGATCACTGTCCTGCAGGTCTATGAGGCTCTGTTTTGTTTTTTTAACTCTATTTTCCTCTCTGATTTTCAGGTTAGATAAATTCTACTTATCCATCGTCAAGTTAACTAACTCTTTCCTCTGTTTTTTCTTTCCTGATATCCAATCCCTCCAGTGAGCATTTTATCTCAGTTGTTATTTTCACTTATAAAATTTCCACTTTGGAACTTTATTCTTCATATCTTCTGTATCTTTGCTGGGGCTTTCTATTTTTCCAATCATTACAAGAGTATTTTCAATTGCTTCTTGGAGCATTTTTATAGTAGCTACTTAAAGTGTTTGTCAGATAACTCTAACATCTATGTTATCTCAGGGTTAGCATCTGTGGTTTCTTTCCATGAGAGTTGAGATGTTCCTGGTTCTTCATGCCAAGTAATTTTGGATTGTGTCCTGAATATTTTGAATATTATGTTATGAGACTCTGGGTCTTCTTTAAATCTTTGGAGAGTGTACATATTTTTGTTTTAGTATGCAAAACAGGTTACATATAGACCACAAGTTCCAAATTGACTTCTGTGGTCTGTGACTTCAACATCAGTTCAACTTTCAAAACCTTTGCAATGCTATTTGGATCTATCCCAAAAGTGTGCCACTCAGTAGTGTTTAGAAAATGGCAGTGGTTTCTTAGTTCACTTCTTAAAGTCTTTGGTATGCTGATCAGAATCAGATCTGCATATGACAAATTTATAGCTCAAGAGTAGACCTGGAGTTTAAAAACTGATAATGGGGTTGTTTTCCTGTTCTCTTCCCTTTCTGCAAACTTCCCAGTAATTCTGGATTCCCTGGGTTTCCTCTTTATGGTCCTCTGGACAGAAAGCTGGAGCTTCAGTTATTATACTTTGCTGCACACACTTCTGTGACTGTGTCTATGTCTAGGGTAAAGCAGCAGAAGGAATGGGAGTGGGGAACAAGGGGTGGGGGAGGTAAAGGGATGGCAACCTCACCACTGGCTTGGCAGTAGTATGAATTCTCATTTTCTTCCCCAATTTGCCTACTATTTACTTTTCAAAGCCCTCAAATAGCTGCTCCATGCATTCCGCCCAGGATTTACAGCTACATTCAGTGGGAGAGACAATGTGGAGTGATTTAACTCCATCTTCACTGAAACCTTTAAATGCTAGTTTAACCAGAATTCTAACAACAGGTTTCTGTTATATTATATTCCAACTAGACTTTGTTTAATAAAACTTAAGCCTGCTTGCTCACTCATACTAGTAGCACACACCTTGCTCCTAACAGGCATATTCTTTTTTGATAGAATCCTCATTCTTGCCTTTATGGCTAGTGACAAAGGCAGAAGCCTGCATTTCATTTATCAGTCTCTCTGGTATCAAGTAGAGGTCCCATAAAATTGAAGTCTGTGCCCTAGAGCACAATAGAGCAATAGTAAAGATTATTTCATCCCTGGTTTTAGTACTTGTCTCTGTTCATTTTTAATTATAATAGTACTGACTTTAATCAAGACCCAAAACACATTAAGAGATTACCTTAAAGATCACACAAACTCTCAGAAGTAAAGTTCAATAGAAGTGCTTCTTGATGCTAACCACATTTTTCAAGAACAAAACATACTGAAAAAAATTAAAATGAATGAAAACAGAAACCAAAAGCTTAGGCAGAATGAGAGAAGCTAGAGGAAGGACTAAATTACCTAGATAATTATGACACTGACAGTATGGAAAATCCAAAAATGTTTCTTTTTTTCAAATACTTTTTTAAGAGAGAGGAAAGGAGAGGAGAAAGAGAGACAGACAGAGAGAGAGACAGTGAGAGACAGACAACGATCGGCTACCTCACATACACACCCAGGCCAAGGACTGAACCCACAACACCTGGGTATGTGTCCCGAATGGGAGTTGAACCCCTTTTGGGGTACTGGATGACACTCCAAACAACTGAAGCACACTGGCCAGGGTCCAAAAATGTTTCTTTTCCATGCTTAAGGAAAGCAAGATATAAAAAATACAGGCACTATAAGTATGAAAGATAATAGCAGAGCTGTCCATAATAAATGATGCAAAAATATGATGTGGTGTCATTTTGCAGTCTGATTTTGCTACTAACTTTTGGAAAGTGATAATAAGGTATAAAGCAAAGAAAAGAGTTGAGTGGTAAATTAATGTCTTTCTCTGAGGATTAAGTGTGCTGTCCAACAATAAATATCTTAGTAGCAATGAGAAACAGCTAATGCTACCAAACAGGAATGTTTAAAAGAATCTAAATAATAGAAATAAAGTACACTACCAGGTTTTGAACTTAGAAGACAAAAAATGAAGAATGATGTTCCTGCTTGGATTTCAAAATTAAAGTAGAGTGTACATAGAGATAACAATGAAACCCTATCACCCAAAAATAGATTTTTAAAAAAATAATGAAAATTTAAATAGAGTTATATATACTTTGGAAAATTTCACCAAACTAAAATATCAAAAATGTTTATAATCACTTCTGAATTACTGTAATTTACTAGGGAAAACAAGGTTAAATCCCCAAATATTATACTATAGAACAAAACAAACATCACCATACCAAACACTAATAGAGGAATCTTAAATCAAAGAAACAAAAAAAACACAAGTTAGCAAAAAATTAAATTACCCCCCCACACACCTAAAATTCAAGGATTAGACAACAGAAACACAGGAGGATCCTTTTCAACCCTTCAAAGACAATTATTAAGCAGGCAT